CCCCNCTCCGCCGCTACCGGAGGCTTAATGAGCTACAAACGACAATGCATCAGCCCCGGTCTGGGGCTCATCACTCATCAACTCCTTTTAAATTGCATTTTTTTTTCGCTCCCAACTTTTCCCCGGCGTTTTTTTTTTCTTTTTTTTTCGACGGAGTGAAGTGCATGTGTGTTACAGTGTCACAGTGTTTTCGTTTTTGTCACATCTAGAATTCTCCCCTCTCGTCGCGGGCGCGCCTCTTTTCTTTCAGGCGAGATTGAAGCGCGATTTTGCCCCCCGCCCCCGCGACCTGCTCGGCTCGGCTCGGCTGGAGTGGGTTTTCTCCTTCCGTTTTTCGCGGATTCAGTGATTTATAATGAATGTGCTGTCGAAACTCCGAGTGCGAAAAAGTGTTCCTCCATCAGATAAAGACGAGAGCTCCCCCGAAACCCACATCCGGCAACCTTTGATTTTCCGCAGAACAATGCAGACGAAGCGACTCGGATTAATTGTGCCCCGTCGTGGCGCCACGGTGCCGGATAGGGAACTGCTCTGCCGTCCTAAAGAAGAACGCCGTATGAGCCTTCAGACGTTGCCAAATTTTCCATGACAAGTCATAAATTCTCAAAAAAATGTGTAAATAATGGAGATGTTGCATGTGTGAGGAATTTGCGATTCGACTATTGATCCTTATGTAAATGTTCGCGAGGAACATGATGGTGTCACTGGTTTTCTCTGAAATTAACTCCCAAGCTCTAAAAAAGCTCTCAAGTTGAGGCCAAAATGGAGGGGACATTCCACGCTATCCTGAGAGTCCACCCCTACATCAAGACAAACTCTCCATGCAAAGATAGGAAGCAAATACATTAGCAGGGTTGCCGTGTTTTCAGTTTTGGAGTCCCCAAATAAAGTGGCAGCCCTGTCAATGTATTTTCTCCCTATCTTTGCATGGAGAGTCGGTCTTGATGTAGAGGTGGACTCTCAGGATAGCGTGGGATATCCTCTCCATTTTGGCCTCAAGTTGAGAGCTTTTTTTGAGCTCGGGAGTTGATTTTAGAGAAAACCAGTGGCACCATCGTGTTTCTCGCGAACTTTAACGTAAGAATCATTAGTCAAATCGCAAATTCCTCACACATGCAACATCTCCATTCTCGAAAAAATGTGTAAATATTTTTCTTCGAACTTCGAACTATTCAGAGAAAAGTTCAAGAAAAAATATTCTAAACTTGCTCCACTCACTTGCTTCAAGCATTTGCTGAGAGGAAATTTGGCAACATTTGAATGCTCATACGGCGTTCTTCCTTAGCACGCCAGTACAGGACCTATGCCTGTATGGGCAAGCAGAAGGAAGGAGGAAGAATTTCTCCAACCCCAATTTCGCTGCACGGACTGGTATTTCGCCTTCATTCTGGTGGCTATGCAACAAAATGTCCCTGGAGTTAAAATAGTTATCTATTCAGCGCCTTACACTTTGAATCTCGTTCGACTGCAGTGTATGGGACAGTTTAGAAGATACGAAACGCTCGAGGGAAGGGGACGATTCGAGGAGTGCTATTTCTTTTTACGTGTCAAATGTTAGAGGCCTACGTCACAAAAACATTATTAAATGAAGGGAATTTTGGTTTCTTCCCAACATTTTCATAAGAATGAGAGCATTTCGCATCCGAGTTGTACCATCGGAATGAATCAATAATTCTTTCATGTCACATTTACATCTCTCTAACTTTCATGTTTATTTCTTTCTGATTTCAGGTAAGTTTCAAAACAGATCCAACGTTTCAGCAGACAGCTCTCTTTCTTTTCCACGTGAAAATTTTACTTTTTCAAACGTGAGTATCGACAACCATCAATATACTCCTTATTCCACCTTAAAAATGTTTCAAGGAATGCGTTTTGCTAGTCTATTGCCCCCTCATTTGTCCATTGCAATTACTCACTGGAAAAAAAAAACACATTGTATCTAGAGTCCAGACTCTTGAAAACATTGACAAGAAAAAGGACTCTTGATTCAAGCAGATTTAAGCTTAAATCAAAAGGAAATCCGCTCAAATTGAGAGGCTTGGTTCTTGATTTAAGCTTAAATCTGATCGAATCAAGAGTATTTTTTCTTGTCGATGTTATTAAGAGTCTGGACTCTAGATCCAATGTGTTTTTTTCCCAGTGCTCGTTTCAACCAATAGGATCGCTCCATATTCTCTATGTCCTCTTTGTCTATCAATATCAATAATCCGGCTGATGGTGCAATTCTGTTAAAGCCGGTCTAATTAAACTCCATTCCGATTGATTTGAAATTCTCCATATGTCGTTGAACTATCCCTTCGAACCTTCCTATTCGACGGGGACTCCCTCAACCTTTTCGCCCGGTGCAACCTTGGCGCGGAACTAGCGAAAGTGACGCGAGCGGGCGTCTTACACCGAATAATTTATTCAATGTATGCGAGGAGTTTCGTTTTCCGATGCTGAATTTTTCATCGCTCCGCAAACCTCCTGGTACACACACCCCCATGCCCCATGATTCGTCGGGCAAACAGCCCCGACCGCTGCATGAACCTCCCGAGCTATCTAATGAAATTGAATGCTCCGCCACTTGCAGAGAGAAATGTCAATCTTTAACAATAACGCCTTTCTCGAGCCTCGACCGTGTCCCCGGGGACAGAATTAACGGGTCTCCTCACTCGTCGGCGCCGAAATTTTATGAATCCAGGTGGAGGAGTTCGTTAATTTTGAGGTGGTGCTATGGTATTTAGACCACGAGGGAAATATCAATATTAATATATTTTCTCCAGGGAACTTTGTCAACATCCAAATGCTTATACGGCAGTGGCGTGGCATGAATTGCGATGTATCGATTGTTATGCCATTTAAACGTATGGTAAAGAATCGATTATTAAGGTGTTCGCTGCGAACACCCTGTTTATCGATCTTTTCCCATAGGTTCAAATGACAGATCGATCCATTTATCGCGAAACACGTCACGCCACTGTATACGGTGATTCTCCTTAGCACGGTTGAAAGGGATACCATCGTTGCTGCTTGTAGGAAATCATTTTGCCTGTTCTCATAAATGAAGACGAATTTTACTGGTATATCTTTCATTTATATATTTATTTATTTAAAAAAACTGACGCAAAAAATTGGGATCAAAAGCTGTAAAAACATTAGAATATTAAAAACCGGACGTTTCGAGGCGAAAAAGACCAACCTCTCCCTCAGCGGATAAAAACTTTAATTTGAAAAACTTACAAATTACCTACTCCCCATCTCGCCAATGTTTAAACCACAAAACATAACAAAACAACATTTTGATTGCTTTGAAAATTGAGCACTTTCTGACGTCACTTGGCAGTATTTATCGTTTAAACCCGTGTATTTCAGCGCATCCACGTCTTTCGTCATAACTTGACTGGATTGAAAACCAGGAATATTTTCATTTTTCAGCTTATTAAGTAGTTTTAATCTTCAATTTAAGTAACGTCATCATTCCGACCCGTGGCTTTGACCAATTATCGAGTGAATTTCGGCAACGCTCGAAGCGTTAACATGGGAGCAAAGTTGGTCCCGGAGACGTGGCGTCGATCCGAAACTGTCAACGTTCAATCGCTCGGCTTTGTCAATTGTGTTCGTCAGCGTTAATTAACTGCCAATTAAGAACCGCCTACTCTCAGAAATCGTCCGGCGTCCTTATCGATCGCCCCGATCAGTTAATTATTCCGGGAAAAATGGCTCGATGTGTCCATCAGGGCAACCGAGATGTACTTCGGGTCAAGGGGCTCTCGAAAATAGGTATCGTTCACCAGTCCCAACGTTGCGTGCCTCATTTTTCCGTGACCTAGTTCTGGGTGTGACAAAGAAAAGGTGGCTTGAAAAAACGAAATCCTATCCTGCACTGGAAAAAAACACATTGGATCCAGAGTCCAGACTCTTAAAAACATCGACAAGAAAAAGTACTCTTGATTCAATCCGAATTTAGCTTAAATCAAGAACCAGCCTCTTAATTTAAGCGGATTTCGTTTTGATTCAAGCAAAAATCCGATTGAATCCAGAGTATTTTTTCTTGTCAATGTTTTCAAGAGTCTAGACTTTAGATCCAATGTGATTTTTTTTTCAGTGTACGTGGAGCGATGCTCATAAGCGTGGGAACATTCCATGTATCACGCGTTTTCCAGATTTATATTTTATTTTAAGTGTTTTTAAACTCTCGGGTGAGGTCACCGCTCACTAATCACGGGTTTTACGATTTAATTGTTCGTTAACATTGTTACTTAGCATTGCTGCTAAAACACGTCCATTTTTCTTTCGAGCGAAGCAGAAACCACGCATCCGCCCCGGGTTCCCAGCGGGGTTACGCGGTTACCAGTCCAAGGGGCAGTTTCCCTAAGAAGAAACGTCGTATGAGCCTTCAGGCGTTGCCAAATTTCATTTAGAAAACCACGAATTTCCGAGAAAATTTGTGAGTATTTTTCTTCCAATTTTTCAGGTAATTCCGTTCGCAATTTCACCTAACTTTCCTGAAAATTGTATGAGAAAATATCCATAGCTCTCCTCAAAAATTAGCGTTTTATCGAAAGAAATTCGGCAACTCTGGAATGTTGATACGGCGTTTTTCCCCAGCATGGCAGTGTGCATGTCAACCCACCGCCGGGCGGGGCGGCGGTAAAATCATAAGCAAGAGGCTATTTGCGGACCACTCGGCAGGTGATTTACGACTCGGAATGAAGCAGTACCGAGCGGCAATAATTGTCAATGCGCCCGTCGGTAATTTTTCGCGGGGGGAGGGGCCGGGGGCCGAGCGTTACGTACATCGTAAGCGGTTGTTAAATAACGAGTTTACGAAGGTAAATAAAAATAAAGGGAACCGTGAGCTCCCGCGAGTTGATGACTTCGTGAGTATTGATCCGAAGCGGGCTCGGGCCTCTCCGGACGGGTCCGCCACCCCCCTCCCCCGCCCCTCCCCGGAGCGGTCGTAGCCCACGGGGTCGATACCAAACGCCAGCACGTTAATGCACAGTCAGAGCGCGGCCGATCCCTCCGTCAGGCGCGCAGCGAGTGCCTCTCTCCCCGTCGTCCGCGAAGAGGTTAGAATCCTCACGATACCTAAAGTGACACTTTTCGCGCTTTCCGCCCCTTTTCGCAACCCCCCCCTCCCGTGCGAAAATCGCCCCCTCCATCTCCATCGTTAACGCTTACGAGTAGTTTTTCCGACCCCCTCGATCACCTTTCCGGGGCGCGGTGCGGACCTCCGTTACTGTATACGTTACGCCTCGGTTTACGTGACGTTGGGAACGATCGTTGTGTTGTGTTGATCGATCTTGCGATAAGTGTATTTTTGTTTTTTTTTCTGGCTCGCCCGCGCGCGGTAGAATTTGGCGTGTCCGAAATGTAGCGGTTGTTTCTGCTCTCGCGCTGAGGAATTGTTGTTTGTTTTGCGGTCTATTTTGAATGCGCGGTGGGCAGTTGGTGAACATGTGGAAGTGCGATCGCCCGTCGAAAGTTCAGTGTACCTCTAAATTGTGTCGGTGGCTCTGTTGATCTTCGTTTTTTGCGCGTTCCTTGTTTTTCTTTCTCTGTCGACGGTAATGCTGGTGATTACAAATGTGCGCGTTTTCTGATCTCGAATGCAGCGTTTCAAGGAGCTTGTCGCCAGCAGATTCAGTGCGAGGAATATCAAGGATCAAATGGTCAACTCATTACAAGGTTAATCCCTTTTATCGATAATTTCGTCCTTAACCTTAAAGCTTTAAACCATTAAACCATTTAACCATTTAACCATTAAACCATTAAACTTGCACCTCAATTGGAGAGGAATGATTCTCTCATGGGTGGATGAAATGGAATTGTTTTCAAGTTTGAAAGAGGAATTTCAACCTCGGCTCGAAGTCTGTGATGGAGGAAGACGAGAATATAGATAACTTCAAAGCGATTTAACTGAGACTTGAATGAACACGGCAGTTATTCTCACTCCGCATTTTTCTTACTTAGTTATCCTCCTCTTCCTCCATTTTTCTGTTTTGAAGAATCATAATGATGCTGAATGGCAAATTATTTTAGTTAATAGAAGTATCATCTTGTTTTGTTCTGTTCTGTTTATTGGGTCGTACCCAGTCATCGTTCAACTCTTGAATAAGATCTTCAAAACTCCTGAAATGTCCAGGATAAGCAAACCGCATCATCACTGAACGAGCAACTTACGATGGGCTATCCATTAACAATTTTAATCAACATAATATTCTCGGCTGGACAACCGAAAATAGTCGAATGAGAGTTTGTTAACTTATGAATTGTAACCGTGGAACATTTTTTTGCGGAAAGTTGACTTGGTATTCTCTCAAAATGCCCTATGTAGGCTCCACGCACCTAATGATAATTGACCGTAAATCAGTTCATCTTCGTGTCCTCTCCAGCTGGTCGTTAGAGAAGAGATCGAGACCCAATATTTTAGTAGTCACACTTCATTTTTAAAAATGAGCATTACTTATGGAAATCACCAACTTATTACCAGACGATGGCTGATAAACATTGTGTCGATGAAGGGTGTGATACCAATCTTGCGAAAGATTACAATGATTCCTAATCACAGAAAATGTAAAATCAAAATGAATTAATCGCGAATTTTGACAATTCTGAGTCCCGTCCATATCTATCTACCTTGAATTTTGTCAAAGCTACAGAATTTGTATTTCATGTTACAAATTTCTTGCAGTGTCAAATTATTGCAATTCCTTCCGATTATTCATTTTCTTTAATGCGTTGCTCTGTATTCGAAGCACGGAATAATGATCCCTTTTTCCAATCTACTTTTAAGGCCTTCTTAATCACTGTGTACACCATTTCTGCCATGCTAAGGAAGAACGCCGTATGAACCTTCAGGCGTTGCCCCTTTGATAAAACACGATTTTCCTGGTACACTTATGAATATTTTCCCTCCAATTTTTCAGATAATTTTGTTCTCAATTTTACCTACAGTTCCTGAAAATTTCAAGGAAAAATATGCATGACTTTCCTCAAAAATAAGCATTTTAATGAAGGAAATTTAGCAACTCTCGAATGATTATACGGTGTCCTTCCTTAGCACGGCAGATTTCGATGACGAAACGGCAGGAACGTAGATCTCGTCAGCGAAGTTTCAAGATCGCGCGATGCGATGCGGGTGCGGTGCTCAAAAGCGTGGCGTGCTTTGCGATTTATCGATTGATTTGCCATTTAAACCCATGGGAAAGGATCGATAAACAGGGTGTTCGCAGCGGACACCATATACGGTGTATCACCGTATCGATTATTATGACAATCGATTCTTTACCCTAGCTTCGAATGGAGAAATATTGATAATCGATCATTCTCGCCTCGCCACTGGAGGCGCTTATAGATTGTCCTTCACACATAGAAGAAAAATCAGGAAAGTCTGCAACAAACAGCGAATACGTCCTTTAGTTCATCGCGACCGAGTTAAATAAGGGTATTTCGAGGTCCAAGTAACGGGAATTGCAGCAGACCGAATTGAAGGCGCTGACCACCGCCGGAGATTCTCGCAATCGGCGAGGATCATCGCGACGTGGCGCACAGTGGTTTGAGTCGATCAGAGAAGTCGGACATCAAACATTAAACTAAAACTGCAAATTTTGATGTTTTATCTCGTCAAATTTTGAATTTTGATGGGTGCCCCTCTCAGAAAATTTCACAAGGAGACCATTGGAATCACTTTTAAAACCTCAAAATTCTACCTAAACGGAGTTATAAGCTTTTAAAGTTTCCAAATGTTGGCCGGGATGTTGGGAGTTTTTTTAGCCAACGTGCGTAAAAATTTCAGCTTTAAGCTGAAATCTCATTAGAGAGGGAAAAAGCTCACACACAAGCACAATTTTCTAACGAGATTTCAGCTTAAAGCTGAACTTTTTACTCACGTTGGCTAAAAAAACTCCAACATCCCGTCTTTAGACCGGTGCGTTCACCGCAATCGGTTTATGTTTCCAAATGTTGTTGGACCTGTGTGCGACATCGGGGCCCGGGCGGGCGGGGTCCGTATGATTCCTATGCTCGACGCGTCTGGTCCGGTGCTCATCCTGGCGACAGCTCCGCTGGAAATTGGCCCCGGAGCGGCTCGCCGCCACCTCCATATCGCGCCGATGATCAAAGCTGACTTTTCCCGACGACCCAGACGCGCCACCGGGCCGCCGCTCCCCGCAAAGTGACCCATTTTGCGCGGTGACCATTCCCGAATCGACCCAGTTCGCTCGGGGATCACAAGGAGCAGCGCGCAAGGGAAGCGGACCGGGGGGGGCT